CAGGTAAACATCTTTCTGGTATTCTCTGCTTTCAGCCAAGATCCATCTGACATCAGCAATGATATCCTTCATTCCACATCCTCTTCTGAATTCAGCTTGAATTCCTGGCAGTTCCTTGTTGATGTACTGCTGCAACTGCTTTTAATGATCTTCACCAAAATTTTACTTGCGTGTGATATTACTGATGTTGTTTGATAATCTCCACATTCCATTGGATCATCTCTCTTTGGAATGGGCACAAATATGGATCCCTTCCAGCTGGTTGGCCAGGAAGTTATCTTCCAAATTTCCTGGCATAGAGGAGTGAGCACCTCCAGTGCTGCATCCATTTGCTGAAACATCTCAGTTGGTATTCCATCGATTCCTGGAGCCTTTTTTTCACCATTGCCTTCAGTGCAGCTTGGACTTCTTCCCTTAATATCACTGCCTCTTGATTATATGTTACTTCCTGAAGTGGCTGAACATCGACCAATTCTTTTTGGTACAATGACTCTGTGTATTCCTTCCATCTTCTTTTGATGCTTCCTGAGTCATTCAATATTTTGCCCACAGAATCCTTCAATAATGCAACTCGAAGCTTGAATTTTTGCTTCATTTCTTTCAGCTTGAGAAAAGATTAAAGATCACAGCCTAGGAAACTCTATGGGGCATTTTTACTCTGTCCTATAGGGTTGCTATGAGTTAGAACTGACTCGATGGCACACAGCAACAACAACAATCATATTATTTACTTTTGAAAATCAATTATAGTGACTCTTTGGAATATATCTATTTATAGAACTCATTTCTTATCTAGATATTACCTGAATTATATATTACTTCATGACAGAGTATCTCTTTTTAGAATATTGTATCACTACTATTTTCTTTCTACCATGATTATTATCTTCCTATCAAATAATATATTTTTGCTGATATCTGTTATGATAATTTTAAAATACAAAATTATCTTCCCAAATATGTTTTCATGCAATTTTTGGATCATATAATGTTATTCTTTCATTGGCTCCATACAATAACTTAAAATCAAGTTGTCTGATCAAGTTTCTATATAAAATTAGTGAAGGGAAAGAAAAAAGTGAGATCTACTTAGTTATTCTAGACCTCACCACAGAGATAGGTTCAGAGTGTGTATCATGTAAATATGCATATATCTGGTTTAGGAATAAATATGTATGTATATAAAATTATGTCCATATAATATTTAAAATGCATATAAAAGATTGCTAAATATACACGTATTTTAATATGTATAATTAAAAATATTTGAAATTTTTAGCATAGTGTTAACTATTATAATTATTATATTTCCCTCAAGCTTCATAAAGATTGTCTCTTCATTCTAATTTCCTCAAGAAATATATACTACTGCCAACAGATTATTATTGACATAGCAATCTTCACATTTATAAACTTCTAAAGTTAACTGCTGTCAAAAGAGAACTTACAGAAGAGTTGAGTTAACACATAATCATCTCGAACCTTACCCACAATATTGTTAAAGTATCTCAATTGTGACTAGCAACTTCCTTTCCCATATTCAGTCCCCTAAATAACCCTAATTATATATCATATATGATATATATAATATTACATAACTGCTATTTCTTCCAGAACATTTTACTCTACTTACCTTTCCCACCTTTATTTACTTCTTGAAGTAGCTTAATGCCAACTTTTTTCAAATCTACAGAGAACAGATGAAGTATGGCAAGACTCAAAGATAAAGATGGTGGTTTCCCATTCCATTCTTTAGTGAGACAATGAATTAATTCAATTTGGGGACATAACCTTATGAGCTGCAATAGGTCATCTGAAAGCAAAAATGAGAAAACATGTCTCAACATCCTAATATGGTAGTATATCAACTAGGCAATGGGAACAGATAATGCCTATACTTCCTGATCAACACTTGTTTATCCAATCCTTCCAAGTCCCCGTCAATGTCTAACTCCAACCCAAACTCAGCAGTGCTATCCTCCAAAAAAAATCATATGAAGCATTGCAAAAATTAAACAAAGAAAAACAACCCATAACAGAGAACGCCAAAAAAAAAAAAAAAAGTTTATCGAAGGCCTATCATGAAAAGAAACGTGGTATAACAGAAAGGAACTAGACTGGTAATCAGGAAAGCTGAACTCTAATTCTAGCTCTGTCAACTATAACCTTCTGGACCTCAATTTCTGCATGTGAAAAGTGCTAGAGTTGGAGATAATTTCTAAAGTTCCATCTAATACTACATTACGTTTGTCAATATCTTGTTGCTCATATTTGGGCCAGCTTCTGGTGAGTATAATGTCTGTCTTTCGGTGCCTTGCACCAAGAAGAGGCTTAATAATTTTGTTATTTAAAATATCAAATATTCAAAAATTTTAAAAAGATTTTAAGAAGCCATTAGCTAGTTCAATTAGCTATAAGTAGAACCATGTGAAGTTGCCAATATTTGATCATTTTGAGGTTACAAAAAGAACAATTTCATATGGTTCAGTCTCCTACTTAACCATTAAGGTGATCTAAAACAACATATAGGACTTACATTCTTAAATTTCTAAACTTTGTTTTGACTTCTTAAACTTGTTGAAGTATTCTTCTTGGGGCACAAAAAAGATAATTTTCAGAATTTCTGAGAGCTTTTCAAGAACTACCATAAATATGATTTGCAATCTGAAAGTCAATACAAGGTAATCTAGTATGTATTTACTAAACAAATACTGTTCTGGAAACTTATATGTATATTAAATCACTGCATGTAATATTCAAAGGAAGTGCAATTCTCTTACTGCCTAATTGCAACTGAGGTGTTTCAAAAATGTGAAATGAACTTTATTTCACTAACTTTTCCTTTCTAATACTTAGAGTGAAGCCCTGGCGGTTCAATATATTACAATTCAGAACACTATACAAAATGACCAAAATGTTCAGCTGTTTAAAAAAATCCTTTAAGTAGTATGTGCCAGTATAGCCATTAAATTTAACTTTAAAACTATATGTCCAAGACTGGCCAGTTTACTAAACATTTATATTGAAGAATAACATAATATATCTGAATGTCTAACAGGAACACCAGTCAGCTCCAGTTTTCATTAAAAATTACAAATGAAATGTCCTACTTATCGTACATATAAATGGATTTTATAAATTAAGTTTAAAATATTTCCTGGTATCATGAGTTATCTTAAATTAAAAGCCAGAATTCAAATGTATATGAATAAGTAGGCTTTTTTTTTTTTTTTAAATACTTACCAGAAGTAAACTCCTTGAATTGTTGGATGTATTCCAAGGCCCCATAAATCTGACCAAGTTTACACAGGCAAAGAAGAGCTTTTTTGTGCAGGCCACATTCATTGTAGATAATTTGAGCTAAAGCCATACATTTGGCCTTGTTATAAGTATCCTGCTCCCCATAATCATAGATCACATCCCCAGCCTCCTCAGAAAATGTCAGCCTAGAGAAAGCAGATCAATATGGCACATATTTCAGAGTTCTGGACAAGTGGATGAGACTCTGGAATATTTGAAAATACAACACAGTAGAACTGGACTTCCCAGGGCCTGTAAAGAATTCTAATAAGCAATTGATCAGTATGTCTACGATTTAACAACAAGAACAAAAACAATCAAGCATGTATTGCTTTGGGGGAAGATATTTTGGCGAAGCTGAGATCAAGTTTTTAAAAAATCCAGAAACAAGGTTAAAACTCTTCTGAAAAGACTAGTGGGATTGAAAATTACAAGGTAAATGAAAAGTCTCATTATTGGGGTTCTCAGCACTTATCTAGAATCCAAACCCTGCAGACTTAGTAAATGTTGTTTAAAGATGACAACTGATTTCAGCTCACAATTAGGGATGAATCTTGTGTGCATTTGTACTAAAAGGAAAACAAAGAAAGTGTGACACCATTGTTATTTTTAAAACTTGCTAGAGACTTACAAGAAGCAACAGGAAAAAACAAACGCATGATTGTGATACTAGGAGAGACTGAAGGAGTTCTTTTAAGATGGCTCAATTGAACAGATTCCACTTGTCATCATATTTTTTTACATTTTAATGTGTTTTAGATAAAAGTTTACAGCACAAATTTGTTTCTCATTCAAAAATTTATGCACAAATTGTTTTGTGACATTGGTTGCAATCCCCACAATGTGTTAGCACTCTCCCCCTTTCCCTTTCCATCCCGGCTTCCCCGGGTCCAGGTTTCCTGTCCCTTCCCACCTTCTCATCTTTGCTTTTGGGCAGTAGTTGCCCGTTTGGTCTCATACACTTGATTGAACCAAGAAGCACGTTTGTCACCTGTTGTTGTTTGTTCTATAGGCCTGTCTAATCTTTGTCTGAAAGGTGGATTTCATGAGTGGCTTCAGTTCTGAGTTAGCAGGGTATCCAGGGGCCATCGTCTCAGGGATTCCTTCAGTCGCTGTCATATGAGTAAGTCTGGTCTTTTTTTGTGAATTTGAATTTTGTTCTACATTTTTTCTCCTGCTCTGTCCAGAACCCTCTACTGTGATCCCTGTCAGAGTGGTCGGTGGTGGTAGCCAGACACCATCTAGTTCTTCTGGGCTCAGGCTAGTGGAGGCTGTGGTTCATGTGGTCCATTAGTCCTTTGGACTAATATTTTCCTTGTGTCTTTGGTATTCTTCATTCTCCTTTCTCCAAATATGATGGGACCAATAGATGTATCTTAGAGGGCCACTTGCAAGCTTTTAAGACCCCTAACACTACTCACCAAAGTAGGATGTCGAACATTTTCGTTATGAGCTATGTTATGCCAATTGACCTAGATGTCCCCTGAGACTATGGTCCACAGCCCTCAGCCCTAGTAACTCAGCCCCTTGGATGTGTCTAGGAATCTTGCATAGCTTTGCCTTGGTCAAGTTGTGACTTCCCCTATATTGTGTGTTGTCTTTCCTTTCACTAAAGTTAACACTTGTCTATTATCCAGTTAGTGATTTCCCCTCCCTCCTCACATCCTCCCCTCCCTCATAACCATCAGATTGTTTTTCTCTGTGTGTAAACCTTTACTTGTTTTTTTATAATAGTGCTCTCATAAAAATATTTGTCCTTTTATGACTGACATATTTCACTCAGCATAATGCCCTCCAGATTCATCCATGTTGTGAGATGTTTTGAGGATTCATCACTGTTCTTTATTGTTTCATAGTATTCCATTGAGTGTATATACCATAATTTGTTTATCCAGTCATATGCTGATAGGCACTGGGGTTGTTTCCATCTTTTTGCTATTGTGAAAAATGCTGCAAAGAACATGGGTGTGCATATGTCTATTCATGTGATGGCTCTTATTGCTCTAGGATATATTCCTGGGAGTTGGATTGCTGGATCTATGGTATTTCTATTTTTAGCTTTTTAAGGAGGCACCGTATCATTTTCCATAGTGGTTGTGTCCTTTTACATTCCCACCAGCAGTGCATAAAGAGTTCACATCTACCTGCAACCTCTCCAATATTTATTTTCTTTTTTTTTTGATTCGTGTCAGCAATGTCAGGGTAAGATGGTATCTCATTGTAGTTTTAATCGGCATTTCTGTAATGGCTAATGATTGCAAGTATTTCCTCATGTGTCTGTTAGCTGTCTGAATATCTTCTTTGGTGAAGTGTCTGTTCATATCCTTTGCCCATATTTAAACTGGATTATTTGTCTTTTTGTTATGGCGGTGTTAAAGTATTCTATAGATTTTAGAGATCAAGACCCTAGACGGATATGTCGTAGTCAAAATTTTTTTCCCAGTCTGTAGGTCCTCTTTTACTCTTTTGGTGAAGTCTTTTGATGAGCATAAGTATTTAAGCTTTAGGAGCTCCCCGTTATCTACTTTATCTTCTGGTGTTTGTGCATTGTTAGCTTTAGTTTGTATTGAATTTATGCCATGTATTAGGGCCCCTAGTATTGTCCCTATTTTTTCTTCCATGATCTTTATCATTTTAGGTTTTATATTTAGGTCTTTGATCCATTTTGAGTTAGTTTTTGTGTATGGTGTGAGGTATGGGTGCTGTTTCATTTTTTTACAGATGGACATCCAGTTTTGCCAGCACCATTTGTTGAAAAGACTGTCTTTTCCCTATTTAATGGACTTTGGCCCTTTGTAAAAGATTAGCTGACCATAGGTGTGTGGATTTATGTCTGTGTTCTCGATTCTGTTCCACTGGTCCATGTGTCTGTCATTGAACCAGTACCAGCTATTTTGACTACTGTGGATGTACAGCAGGTTCTGAGATCAGGTAGTGTGAGGCCTCCTACTTTGTTCTTTTTCTTCAATAATGCTTTGCTTATCCTCTTTCTGTTCCCTGTAAAGTTGGTGGTTAGTTTTTCCATCTTAAAGAATGCCATTGGTATCTGAATCAGGACTGTATTATATTTGTAGATCACTTTGGGTAGAATTGACATTTTCACAATGTTGAGTCTTCCTATCCATGAGCATAGGATGTTTTTCCATTTATGTAGGTCTCTTTTGGTGTCTTGCAACAGTGTTTTGTAGTTTTCTTTGTATAGGTCTTTTACGACCCTGGTCAGATTTATTCCTAAGTATTTTATCTTTTTACGGGATATTATAAATGGTATTGTTCTCCTGATTTCCTTTTCGAAGTTCTCATTGTTGGTGTATAGGAATCCAACTGATTTTTGTATGTTGATCTTGTATCCTGCTACTCTGCTGAATCTATTAGTTCCAGTAGTTTTCTTCTGGAATCTTTGGGGTGCTCTATGTATAGGATCATATGATCCACAAATAGGGATAGTTTTACTTCTTCCTTTCCAATTTGGATGTTCTTTATTTCTTTTTCTTGCCTTATTGCTCTAGCTAAGACTTCCAGCACAATGTTAAATAGGAGTGGTGATAAAGGGCATCCTTGTCTTGTTCCTGTTCTCAGGGGGAAAGCTTTCAGCCTCTCTACATTGAGAATGATATTGGCTGTTAGTTTTGTATAGATGCCCTTTATTATGTTGAGGAATTTCCCTTCTATTGCTATTTTATTGGTAGTTTTCATTAGGAATGGGTGTTGGACTTTATCAAATGCCTCTTCTGCATCAACTGAGATGATCATGTGATCCTTTTATTTTGTTCTATTTATGTGGTGGATTACGTTGACTGATTTTCTAATGCTGAACCATCGTTGCATACCTGGCATGAACCCCACTTGGTCATGGTGTTATTTTATTTTTTACATGATGCTGACTTCTATTGGCAAGAATTTTGTTGAGAATTTTTGCATCTATATTCATGAGAGATATTGACCTGTAATTTTTTTTTTTTTTTTTTTTGTGGTGTCTTTGCCTGGGTTTTGTATCAGGGTTATGCTGGCTTCATTGAATGAATTCAGGAACATTCTTTCCTTTTCTATGTTCTGTAATAGTTTGAGTAGTACTGATGTAAGCCCTTCTCTGATTGTTTGCTAGACTTCTCCAGTGAAGCTGACTGAGCCAAGGTTCTTTTTTCCTTTGGTTGGGAGTTTATTACCTCTTCAATATCTCCTTTTGTTATGAGTCTGTTCAGATTTTCTATCTCATTTTGTGTTAGTTTAGGTAGACAGTGTGTTTCTAGAAATTTGTCCATTTCCTCTAGCTTCTCAAATTTGTTGGAGTACAGTTTTTCATAGTATTCTGTTATGATCCTTTTTATTTCAGTTAGGTCTGTTATAATGTCCCCCATCTCATTTCCTATGTGGGTTATTTGCTTCCTCTCCTGTTTTTGTTTTGTCAGTTTGGCCAGTGGTTTGTCAATTTTGTTGATCTTTTCAAAGAACCAACTGTTGGTCTTGTTGATTCTACTGTTTTACATTTCCTATTTCATTTACTTCTGCTCTAATCTTTATTATTTCCTTTCTTCAGGTGCCTGTGGGCTTCTTTTGCTGTTCTCTTTGTATTTGTTCGAGTTGTAGGGATAGTGTGTTGATTTTGGCCCATTCTTTTTTGATGTGTGTGTTTATTGCTATAAATTGACCTCTGAGCACTGCCATTGCTGTGTCACAAAGGTTTTGGTATGATGTGTTTTTTTTTTCTCATTTAATTCTAGAAAAGTATTTATTTCCTCTTTGATTTCTTCTATTACCGTTGTTTTTAAGCAAGGTGTTATTTGGTTTCCATGTAACTGATTTTTTTCCTTGATCTTCCTGTAATTGACTTCTACTTTTATGATGTTGTGATCAGAGAGAATGCTCTGTGTTATTTCAATGTTTGGGATTTTATTGAGGGCTGCTTTGTGGCCTAAAATGTGGTCTATTCTGGAGAATGTTCCATGTGCATTGGAAAAGAATGTATACTTTGCGGCTGTTGGGTGGAGTGTTCTATATATGTTTATGTGGTCAAGTTGATTGATTTTGGCCTTTAGATCTTATCTTTGTTGAGTTTTTTTCTAGATGTTCTGTCTTTTACTTACAGTGGTGTGTTGAAGTCTCCTACTATTATTGTGGAACTATTTCTCTTTTCAGTGCTGTTAGCTTGTTTTAGGTATTCTGGAGCCCTGTCCTTCAGAGGTAGATATTTATTAAGGTTATGTCTTCTTGGTGGATTATTTCTTTAATCATTATATAATATCCTTCCTTGACTTTTATGGTTGATTATGCCTCAGAGTCTATTTTATCTGAGATTAGTATTACCACTCCTGCCCTTTGTGGTTACTATTTGATTGATATATTTTTTCATCCTTTGATTTTCAATATATTTATGTTTTTATGTCTAAGGTGTGTCTCTTGTAGACAGTGTATTGATGGGTTGTGTTTTTTCATCCATTTTGCCACTCTCTGTCTCTTCATGGTTGCATTTAAGCCACTTACATTCAGTGTGATTATTGATAGGTATGAGTTTATTGCTGTCATACTGTTTTGCTTTTTTTGGGGGGGGGGGTGCTGACGTTTTCTTTGTTCCTCTTACTTTCCTGTGATGAGTTCCTTTGGTTTGTGGATTTTTTTTTTCCTCTTCTTTTATTATTGTAGATTTTGTGTTTACTGAGTCTTTATGTTTTTCTTCTTTTTTATTCTGATGAGTAGGTTTGTTAATTTCCTTTGTGGTTACCTTGAAATTTACCCTTACCTTCCTAAGTTTGAACCAGTCTTTTATTACTTGATATCGCCTTGACTTCCTCCCCATTGGAAAGTTCTATAGCTGTACCGTTTATTCTCTCTTTTACTGTTTTGACATTGTCATCATTTACAGATTGATGTCTCTGTTTCCCTGTTTCAAGTCTTTTAACTTTGTTTTATTGTTGAGAGTTGTTCTTTATCTAGGCTGGTATCTGGCTGATGCTGTCCTGTGTCCTAGACTCCAGTTGTTGTCTGATGTTGTTGGTTCTCTAACCAAAGGACTCCCTTTAATATTACTTGTAAATCTTGTTTAGATTTTGGCAAATTCCCTTAATTTCTGTTTATCTGGAAATGTCCTAATTTCACCACCATGTTTGAGAAAGAGTTTTGCAGGACATATTATTCTTGGTTGGCAGGTTTTTTTTTGTTCAAGGTTTTATATGTCATCTCATTGCCTGCTTGCCTGCATAGTTTCTGCCCAGTAATCAAAGTTTAGTCTATTGTTTCCCTTCTGTAAGTGCTGTCTGACTCCTGATGTTGGCCTAGCGGTGTGGGAGTGTTCACAGCCCCTCTCCAGATAGGCAGGGGTGTCAGCAGCTGGTCAAGTAGCAGGATAGGAGGAGCAGTGCAGGCCCGATGCAGCGGTGGGCCTGAGAGCCAGGGATGCTCTAGCTGCACCGGCATGGTGGGGGCTGGTGGGAAGGGGGTGGTGGCATACGGGGATAGAAGGGTGGAGAAAGAGAGGGAATGAAGAGAAACAAAAAAGGAAAGAAAAAGAAAAAAAATGGTGGTGTGGTGGGAGCCATGGGTGGGGACGGGAGGACCCGGGGCAGCAGTGAGCCAGTACACCGGTGGCTCTCTAGCCACGGTGGTGTGGCAAGGACTGGCAGGAATGGGGGGAGATGGTGTACAGGGCTAGGTGGGAGGGAGAAATAAAAGGAAGAAAGAGAGAGGGAAAAATTAAAAAATAGAAAAATAAAAATGAATAAATAAAAACTGGTTGTGCGGTAGTGGCCAGCAAATGACGGTGGAGCGTACCTAACGGCTGGTGGGAAGGGAGGGAGAGTGGTTTATGGGGCTAAGTGGCAGAAGAAAAGAAAATAAAGAGAAGAAAAAAATGTCAGCACAACGTAAGTCAGCAGGTGGAGGTGGGGTGGACCCAGGGCAGCAGCAGCCGATGGCTCTCTAGCCATGGCGGCACGGTAGGATCTGGCAGCAAAGTGGGGAGGTGGTACATGGGGCTAGGTGGGAGGGAGAAAGAGAAGAAAGAAAGAGAAAGAAAAGAAAAAAAAATTAAAAATTAAATAAAATAAAAAAACTGGCAGCACAGTAGGGGCCAGTGAGTGTGGCAGGGCTGACCCAAGGGCCAGTTGGAAGGGAGGGGAGGTGACATACAGGGGTAGATGGGAGGGAGAAAGAAAACAAAGATGAGAAAGAAAAAAAAGCAAAAAAAGGCAGTGCAGTGAGAGCCAGCAGGTGGGGGTAGGGTGGACATGGGGCAGCAGTGGGCTGGTGGCTCTCTAGTTGAGGCAGGCACAGCCAGCCCATCAGTAACGGGGTGGAGGTGGTGTATGGGGCTAGGTGTGAAGGAGAAAGAAAAGGAAGAAAGGGAAAAAAATGGTGCCATGGGAGCTGCCTGGTAGGGGTTGTGGGGGAGCTGGGGTGGCAGTGGGCCGGTGGCTCTCTAGCTGAGTGGTGCGGCGTGGCCCATCAGGAAGGGGTGAAGGTGGCATATGGGGCTATGTGGAGGGAAAAAGGAAAGAAAGGGGAAAAAAACAGCTCAGTGGGAGCTGGCTGGTGGGGGTGGGGCAGACCCAGGGTGTCTCTCTAGCTGAGCGGCACAGGATGGCCCATGGGGAATGGGTGGAAGTGGTGTACAGGGCAGAAGGGTGAGGGGTAAGAAAGCATATTTCTCTGGTTAACGGGTACTCTGTCTCCTGTTGAGAGCTCTGTGAAGTTGCCTTCTCGTACTCCCTGTCCAGGGTCATTGCTGGCTGTGTTCTAAGATGGTGACACTGTGCCGTGCTGATTGGCAGGGAGACTGCCACTCCACATCTCTCCTCATTCTCTGTTTTCTGTCAGTTCTTCTTCCATTCAGTGTCTGATCTAGTTCTTTATCCCTTCATTTGATGCCCAGGATTCCAGGATTGATGTTTGTATCTGTTTTACTTAGTTTTTCAGGTCATTGCTGCAGAGGGTCGGCATGGTCCATCTGTCTACAGCGCCATGTTGGCTCAGCCTCCTGTCATCATATTTAATGCACCATCTTCTACACAACTGATGTGAACCATCTGTACTATCACAGTAACTTCGCTAGAAACTATCAGCATAAGCCAAAAGAACATTTGGGTGTGATTAAAGATACCACTTCTAACTACTGATTATATAAAAATTATGCTCTAGCTGTATTTTTAATCAATAGTTACAGAAAAACAGGAATCACAAAATATTGGTATTTATGTACATGTAACAAAATGCTGATAACATTAAAATGAAATCCTGAAACTCCCACAAAATGTCTCTTTACTGAAAACTCCTATCAAAGAAAATAATGTCCTTTGTGTTTGTTGGGGTGGGCAGCAGAGAAGTGGGTCTAAAATCAGAAGGCAGCTTCTGAGTACAAATCAATTATTTGGTAAGCAATTCCCTAATTTCCACACTTATACCCAAATATACTTTACCACAATTAAAAAGATATATCATTAAATAAATAATTGGATATGAATTAAACAAATTTGGACTACAAAAAAATAAAATAGTAGTATTAATGAGAGAAATAAATAAATGCTGTCAGAAATACTGGTATTTGTCGTTTTGTTCCAGTATTGTGGTCACTACATAGACTAAAAGAATTACTCATTTATTCGTTCAGCCTCAGGAAATGTGGCTGTAGCTACCAAAAACCTGTATGTTGGTATTTACACATACCCACAGCCTGTCGGGAACTAGGTTCCTGCCTTTTCCCTCCCAGTGACGTGATACTGGCCAGTCTCTATCTATCCTTACTACTTAACTTCCACCCACCATTAAGTGATCATGAATCATCTTGTGAATTGCCAGGAATCAATGACCTGGGCTCATTGTGGCTGGCCCCCATTACTCCATGAATGCTTAGTAAGTATTTTCTGATTGATTAATTGCAACAGGGACCTGAAGTAAATGCCCAAATAATGTATTGATGAGAAAGCTATTAAAATTTTGAAAAGAACAATTTTATTAACCAAATGTCAAAATTCAGTTAAAAGCTTAACTTTGCTTACCTTTCCTGGGTGACCCAATGTATAACTAAATCTAACCGTTTTTCAGACAATCCACACTTGATGCCCTCCACGGTTAGGGCCGCATCAATAGGATGTTTAAAAGCATGGCTTGTGCTAAAGAGTGCCTCAAAAAATAACAGTAATGGAAAAGGCTCTCCTCTAATTTTTCCAACAGCTACAGAAAGAAGAAAAGTTTTTGAGTCAAATATTTAAAAGTAATACAGTTTGTTTCTTATTTCATATTATTTTCATCTCTGCATTTTCTAACAATTTTAATAACCTAAAATTATCTGCATATTTGTGATTTTCAACTAATGCCTATGGGTTATTTGGAATAACAATTAAACATCGCATGGTAAGACAGAGGCCGAGATTAGAGTGATATGTCTACAAGTCAAGGAACGCCAAGGATCACCTGCAGCCACCAGGAACTAGGAGAGAAGCATGGAATGGATTCTCTTTCAGAGCCTCCAGAAGAAACCAACCCCAGTGACCTTAATTTCGAACTTCTGGCCTCCAGAACTGTGAGAGAATAAATTTCTGTTCTTTAAGCCACTACCTTTGTGATAATTCGTTATGGAAGCCCTAGGAAACTAATTCTGCCCATCTCTTTCTGATTATAAAAGTTAATTTCTGAATCACAGAAAATTGAATATAATCTATCAACCAAACAAGAACTAATCATTATTTTACACTTTGTGACCAAATCAATCTGAAACTTTATAACAAAAAAGATCAAAATTAGAAACTAGCAAACTTTCTATACTGTTTCATCATCATAAAAATATTAGTATAGTTCTGAATTATCGGACTTCTTTTTTAACCATAAATATTCACATAAGCAATAATTGCTATTAAGAACATTAGATTAAAATCTGAATGGGCAGGAGAAATAATCAATATTATTCTAGTTTTATGGAATATTTCCATTTTACTGGTTCAGATGAAAAGCATTATTCAACAACCTTAAAGAGTGACTCACCGGAACACTTTATCCAGAATTACTAGGGAATAAGGATTGCACGTGAAACCATTTTCCAGATAACTGAAGCTTACTCCTTTAAATGTCAAAACTATTCTAAAGTTTCTGATGGGCAATTTTCTATAAAATGTTATGAATTCTCAATTTCTTAAAATAAATATTTAATAATAAAATTTCTTCCTAATCAATATTATTATTATGAATATCAATTATTGTACAATGTTTCCAATTACTGTATGATGTTTTCTTCTGGAGAAATTGGGTCTGACACTAAATGGTCCCAAATAACATGCTTTTTTGAGTTCTTAGATTTGCTTTTTATAATTTTCCTCTCCCGTCCACTACTTTTTGTCACTTCTTGTTGCCATTTACGTGCTTGCCTGGAGCATCCTTCACCATCCAAACCATTTGTTTCAGATCTCCCTTGGGATGGAACAACAGATTTTTTTAAATGGGGCTTTTTATTGTGGCCTCAATTTTGATTTAGGCTCCGAAGCTTAGCTAAGAATAAAGAATGCTGAGTGTCCACACTTTCTAAAGCAAGGAGTTAAAAACTACTTCTGCCACTGTTAGCCCACAGTCACCTCTAAGACATATAAGAGAAGGGAAGAGTTGAGCAATTTCTGTGAAGAGAGCTATTGGTGTGCTGTCTACTTCCCCTCTGTCTTAGTCATCTAGTGCTGCTACAAGAGAAATACCAGAAGTGGATGGCTTTAACAAACAGAAATTTATTCTCTCACGTGTAGGAGCTAGAAGTCCGAATTCAGGGTGCCAGCTCCAGGGGAAGGCTTTCTGTCTCTGTCGGCTCTGGAGGAAGGTCCTTGTCATCAATCTTCCCTTGGGTCTAGGAGCTTCTCAGCGCAAGGACCTGGGTCCAAAGGATGCGTTCCACTCCTGGCTCTTCTTTCTTGGTGGTAGGAGGTCCCTCGCCACTCTGCTCGCTTCTCTCTTTTATATGTCAAAAGAGATTGGCAGCAGGACCAGGAGACAGCACAAGCCGGTGGGGTGGGACTCCTAGTCCACGGAGCAAGGCAGCTAGAGTGGGTGTGCTGATCCACGGAGTGAGAGAGCTGAGAGAGCCTTTGGGCAGGAGGCTTCCTGGCAGAGTAAGGTACCTCTGGACACTTGTCAATGGACCTAGGCTTGCCAACCCACAGAGCAAGAAAGCTGAGTGCCTTTGGGCCAAGGCTTACTGGCAGAGTGAGGTACATTTGGATACTTATTGGTAGAGCTAAGGAGCTTTGTAACACTTGCCCAAGCAGGGCAGGGGCTAAGGGGCCCAGGGGCCTACAGGCCAGGGACAGAGAGAGGCCTGCCTGCCGGCATGGCTGAGAACCTGTCCTGACTAAAGGACTGTATCCTGAGTCATTTCTGATCCTGAACTGCAACCTGCTGCTTCCCTAATAAACCCCATAATCATGAGCACTGCCTGTGAGTTCTATGTGGCCACTGCAACAAATTACTGAACCCAGAAGAGAAGTAGAAAGTGCCATAGGAGGGACAGCTGGTGTCAGAACTGGTAAAAAGGTTGAAGACCGTAGATATGTCTGACCTCTGCCTCACAGGAATCAGCCTAGAGTTATTGATGCTGATGGTGATTCTCCCGTGAAGTTACAGAAGGTCAGATGTTGGCGCTGCCACTTTTACACTCCCCAATTAGTCTTTTATCTCATTGAGGGCAAGAATTTAGTCTTACTAATCTTTGTATCTCAATACCTGGGTCACAACAGACATTCAAATATCTACTGTTGAAAACACACTCTACTTACAGGACTTTTCTGGAATAGTTACAGAAATATACTGCTCTAAACCTTATTTTACTAGAAGCTTCTGTTCCTACCAAGTGATATCATCTTTGAGCTTTAGCATGTCTTTAAAACTTAGGTTTTACATAAGCCTTTTAAAAACAAAAATAATTTGTCTAAAGAATTTCTATATTGAAAATTTAAGTAATTTTAATCCACTCTAAGTCATCAAATTTGTGGTAGAATGGATTTTAAAGACCTAATTATGACTTTGGAAACACGACAAACTGGTTTATATGGAATGCGCTCCATGACCTATACCCACGTGGATGTGGAGTCTGAATTTCGGCCATGTATATGGTTTAAGAAGCCAAAGCCAAGAAATTAACACAAAGACTAACTTAGGACTGTTGAGACATTGAGAACGTGGTAGAACACAAATATAAAACCTCTCTGCAGGATACATAGTAATCCACAGGGGATGAAAAATTAACTTAAAATAAGCTCACAGAGAGTTCTGGCAAAATGGCGCTCTAGGCAGAAGCACCACACCTTCTCTCCACAGCAAAGATCCGAAAAACTAAGCCGAACAGAGAATACAACAATCCTGAAACCCTAAAACATCAAATGAAGAGATAAAGAACTCAGCCAAGCACCAAAT